TATATATATATATATATATATATATATATATATATATAATTCTATCGCTTAATCAGACCCTAGAAATCTCAAATTTGAGTCCTATATATGAAAAAGAATCTTGATAGAAAATGTTTCACTCTAAATGAGGCTCTACGCAACACGAATCCATATATAATAATGTGTCAATGTGAATATTGAAAAATGAGTGAGAAACCAAGAAAATATATGTCTAATTTTTGTTTTAAGCTGAATTAGTCTTTAAGAAAACAAAATATTTAAAAAAACCTTGACTCACATTAATAACTCTTAAAACTCAAAATTTACATTAAATTAAAATGACCAAATTTTAATCTTTCTAAATACTATTAGTTAATTGTGATTAATTATCATTAAAAACTTCAATTTTGTAATAAATTCCTTCAACTAAACAATTAATATTCTTTTCAATAATCTCTACAAATGTACCTATAAATACAACTATATTTCTTCATTCAAATTCATTATTTACATTCTTCTTATTTGTTCTGAGTTGGATTTTATCTACTTCAGAAGTTTTTCACATGGTTCTTAATATTAATGTTTTGATTAATTATTTGTTTGATCAAACAGACTATCGTAACATTGAGAAGTATGTGAAGATATTTCTGGAGTAAAAAACATTCAACTCAATTTTTTTCTTTTTTTATATGGGATTTAAAAGTATAAAATTGTTTTCCTATACAATTTAATCAATTACTATATAATTTTATTTTTTAGGTACTTATCATATTAAAACAAGAGTATAAATTTTAAGTTTGTTGTTATTTTTTTCAATATTGTGTTCGATAAATTATATAAGTGTACGATACATAAGCACTTGTAGTTGATTAAAAAAAATAAGATTTTATTATATTTGACCGGCTTAGTTGGAATTTCAATCTTATATTAATAAGAATTTATGTTTTTGTGTTGAAGAAGAAGGAGAAAACTGACGATTGAAACATGTCAAAGGATCAGATCCAACGAAACTGACTGACGTGCATGTCTATATCAAGTGTTGATGAAGAAGAAAACTAACGATTGGAACATGTTAAATGAACAGGTCCAACAAATCTGACTGATACGTCTGCATAAATCAAGTGTTAGATAAAAAAGAAAGTTGACGATTAGAACATGTCAAAGAAATCTTTTTTTAATAATTTTTTTTATCTATCTTTGTATAAAACTTATATATATTGATTAGGGTTGAGATTCCATTTTATTTTGTATTTATTTTAGGAATAAGATTATTGAAATGAGAACTCAAAATAAAAGTATTATTTCTAAAATGAATTATATTATTGGTGGAGCTTTTGATAAAACAATTGGTGTCACTCATTATAAAGAACTCTTAAATTTCGATATTTGATTTAATCTCTTTTTAAAAAGAATTCAATTGAAGAAGAAAATGTTTTTTTTTTCTTCTCATATTTTTTCTCATTAGTCTTCTCTTTGTTATTTTTTCCTTTTTATTTAAATCAATATATAATGAGTAATTATCACTTGATAAATATAATTCTGCTAAGGAAATTGCATATCTAAATATTAAAAAAATAACAATAATAATACTCGCGATTTTATATAATTTAATTATAATATAATAACTAGGGATAGTTTAAGCACAAATAAATTATTTTAGATAATGTAATATCATATTTTTTTTCTAACGATCATATCAAATTCCTAATCATGAAATAATTAAAATTAATTAAACTCAACACTATGGTATAGCTATGAACTTTATTGCTATTTCACTCATAACTAACGAAAATTCATCGTTAAATCAATTCAAAATAGAATTAGCGATAATTTTTATTGTTTATCCATCACTAAATTCTATTTTTTTAGTTATTCAAAAGAATTATTTATAAAATTTCATATACAAATATAATCTTAAAAAATCCAATTTTTTTGTAAGCAATTTTGAAATTACTCATTTAAAATAAGTTAAAAATACTCTAGATTTTTTTGGGGGCATTTGAGGTGAAAACATTAAAATCACGATGAGAAAAATTAATCAGTCTTAACACTTTCAAATTAGCTATGAATCATAATTAGCAGAATTAATCCATCGCTAAATCAATTCAAAATAGATAAGTGATAAATTGTTGTTTATCCATCACTAAATTCAAATTTTTATTAGTTGGTCAAAAGAATATTTATAAAATTTAACATAAGTATAATCTACTATTTTTGTAAGCAATATTAAAATAACTCCCATATGATAGATATAATTACTGATTTTTTCATTTAACAAAGTTCAAAACATTACCAAATTAAAAGCAACAACATAAGTCTTATTTTTTAACATAAGGTTAAAATAAGTAAATATAATCTAGATTTTTGTTACATGTCACCAAAAAAAAACTAAATTTTTTAATTTGAGTTATGTACACTGATAAATCGATATGCTTGCTTGAATATTTTTCATATCCTTTTAGGTTTCTACTTGCATTTTTTTTTTTAAAAAAAAAAGATACCACATGGTATTAACATATTGTTTTTTTTTTTTATGCAAAGCAATTTTTTTTTTAAAAAAAAAAAATTATCAACAAAGCAATCTCTTTCTTATTTCCTTTAATCTTAATTTACGTTAACTAAACTATTGTTTAGTTTTACTTAATCTGGATGTTTAATCATCAAACTTTATCGTAGTAATTGTAAAGTAATAATTAATTAATTAATTTGCACTACTATAAAAATATTTTCTTTATTTACTTATATATATAGGAAAAATGCACAAGTACCACCTCAATCTATGTCCGAAATCCTAAAAACGCATTTATACGATACTAAAGGTCCTATTTTTTCCTAAATTTATTATATAAGTAATTTTCTACCCCTTTTCGGCCTACGCGGCACTAGCGTAAAAGAAAAAGTCAACCAACACTAAGCCCACAAGATAGTACCACGTAGATCGAAAAAAGGATAGAAAATTATTAATAAAATAAGTTCGGGGGTAATAGTTACTTAATATAGTATAAGTGTGTCTCTGAGATTTCGAACATAGATTGAGGAGGTATATAAATATAATTCTATTGCTTAATAGTACGTGAAGATACTTTCGAAATAAAAAACATCCAACTCAATTTTTACATTTTTATGTGGGATTTAAAAGTATAAATTCATTTTCTTATTCTATCAATATAATTTAATCAAATACCATATAATTTTATTTTTGAGGTACTTATCATCACTATAATATTAAAATTAAAGAAAATAATTTCAAGTTTCGTCTTGAGGTCATGTGCACCACATTTATAGAAATGTTAACAAGACATTGATTTATCAAAAAAATATTTTTGATTTCTTGTTATTTTTTTAATATTGTGTTTTTGGATAAATTGTATAAATGTATCGTGATATATAGTTAATTCTTGTCATTTTTTTCTAAAAATAAGATTGTATTAGATTTGACAGGCTTAGTTAGACTTTTAATCTTAAATTAACAAGAGTTTATGTTTTGTACATTAATAATATTAATCTTTTATAAATGCTTTCTAATCTATAATGATGGGTAAATCTTTGTATCAAACTTATATTGATTAGAATTGAGATACCATTTTTTTTAGGAATAAGATGATTGATATGAGAACTCAAAATAAAAATAGTTATTTACAAAATGAAATTATATTATTGGTAGAGCTTTTGAAAAAACAATTGGTGTCACTAATTAAAAAGAACTCTTAAATTTTGTCAATTGATTTAATATATTTCTAAAAAGAATTAAATTGAAGAAGAAAATATTTTCACTTTTTCTTCTCATATTTTTTTTCTCACCAAGTCTTCCCTTTGTTATTTTTTCCTTTTTATTCAAATTCATGTATAACAAGTAACTATATTCTTGTGACAAAATGGTATATCTAAACAAAAATGTTTTAAATAAGATAATAATAACAATAATGACAACAACAACAACAACGACAATAATAATAATAATAACACTCATGTTTATATAGTATTATAATTATAATATAATATAATAACTATGGATAGTTAAACACAAATAAATTATTTTAGATATTATGTAATCTCAATTTTTTTTCTAATGACATATCATTTTCCTAATCATGAAATAATTAAAAGTTAATCAATCTCAACACTGAACTTTATCACTATTTCGCTCATAACTAACATAAATTGATCGCTAATTCGATTCTGAATAGAATTAGCGAAGAATTTTACTGTTCAGATACTCCATTTTTTTTTTAGTTATTCAAAAATATAATTATAAAATTTCACATATAACTATAATCTAAAAAATTCTAATATTTTTGTAAGCAATATTTAAAAACTCCCATATGATACAACTTACTAATGACATATCATTTTCCTAATCATGAAATAATTAAAAGTTAATCAATCTCAACACTGAACTTTATCACTATTTCGCTCATAACTAACAGAAATTCATCGCTAATTCGATTCTAAATAGAATTAGCGAAGAATCTTACTGTTTAGCTACTCCATTTTTTTTAGTTATTCAAAAAAGTAATTATAAAATTTCACATATAACTATAATCTAAAAAAATCTAATATTTTTGTAAGCAATATTTAAAAACTCCCATATGATACAACTTACTATTTTTTTTTTTCATTTAACAAAGTTCAAAACATAACAACCACTAGTACATAAGTTTTAAGTTATTACATACCCAAATTAAAAACAACAACATAAGTCTTATATTTTAGCTATTACAAACCCTAATTAGAAACAACAACATAAGTCTTTTTTTTTTAAAAAAAAAAAAAACCTAAGTTTAAAATAAGTAAATATAGTCTAGATTTTTTGCATTTGAGGTGAAAACTCTAAAATCATGATGGTAATAATTAAGTTGATTTAGCCAACAATTTGCAGCACCATGAAGATCATCATATTTAGTAATAGCTTGAGCTTTGTCCATGTAAACATCATTTTGCATCTTATAAGATGCAATACCAAAAGGTGGAAGAGGAATTCCACTATTTTTCTTCTTAAGCATTGAAACACCTTCTTTTGTTTCATCATTTGTGTTCTCTGAAATAATAATACATAAAAAAATTAAAAATAATTATTTTGAAATATTAAGCCTAACAATTTTTATTTATATTTTTTTAAGAAAAATGCAATATTTTTATGATTAATGAGCAAAAGTGCACAACCAACAATCATATATCTCATTTTATGATTAATTAATCTTTTAATACATGTAATTAAAAATTTATTAGTAGTAAATCATATATTTTTTTCATTTATGATTAGTTATCATATCTTTAATAATTTATACATAATTATAGAGAGAGAGAGAAAAACTCTTTTAATACATGTAATTAAAATTTTATTAGTAGTAAATAAAAGAAAGAATCATATATTTTTCATTTTATGATTAATTATCATATCTAAAATAATTTATACATAATTATAGAGAGAAAAAACTCTTTTAATACATGTAATTAAAATTTTATTAGTAGTAAATAAAAGAAAGAATCATATATTTTTTTTCATTTATGATTAATTATCATATCTAAAATAATTTATACATAATTATAGAGAGAGAAAAACTCTTTTAATACATGTAATTAAAATTTTATTTGTATTAAATAAAAGAAAGAATCATACATTTTTCATTTATGATTAATTAATATATCTTTAATAATTTATACATAATTATAGGAGAAAAAAAGAGCCTCTTTTAATACATGTAATGAAAAATTTATTAGTATGTTGAGTAGATGTGTGAGGTAATTTTCTCTTTATAAAACAAATGATATTTTTGTATGAAATAGATTTTGTCTTATACTTTAATTATGATATTATATTAAAAAGAATTTCTATAAAAATATTTTGACCAATTTCAATATTGTCATGGTTAATTTTTTTGATATAAAAAAATTAGCAAAAATTAAAGACATACCTTGAAATAGTGATGATAAGGTATGATAGGTAATGAAATATGTTGGCACCCTTTTTCTCAACCCAAGCAATGGTATATAGCCAATTGGAGACCTAAAAAAATTATAATAAGAAAAATTAAATCAAATTTTGTTAAAATAATGAAAAAAAAATGAGAGAGATTTTTTTATTAAACATCATTTTTAATTAACATACATAATAATTTTTTGTCATGAAAATAAATAAGTCTTTTATTTCTAAGTGATTAATTTATTATCAAAATTTTAAAAATAGTATAAAATATTTTTTAAAATTAGAAAAAATATACCAAGTAATAGCCATCCAACTTGCTGGAGACAAATCAACACTGTTTAGTTTGACAATTCCAGGATTTTGGGAGTATATTTGAGCTACCTAAAACATCAAAAGTAATTATCAATATATTATTTTTCATCATAAAAATTAATTAATGAAATATAATTTTAATTTTGACAAATTATAAAACTAAAAATTAGAATTATATACATACCTTATCTATTAAGGGGTGTCTCCAAGTATAAGCACAAACATCAGAATATTCAAGATAGAGATAGCCAAGTTGATTTTTTGAATATTCCATTGTCTCAGTATTGAAATTTGATAAATTATTATTATCACTTGAAGTTTCTGAATTATTGTTTTTTGGTATGATTTTGCAGGAACTGAAAAAAAATATTTTGTGTATAAGAAAGTAGCAGACGAAATCTAGGATAAAATTCAGTTATTAAAATTGTCATAAGAATAGTACGATAAATTCTAAGAAGAATACTTAATGAGAGTATTAACATACGAAATTTTGATAATTTTTTAAAAGAAAAATACTTTATGAAAGTAGCAGACGAAATCTAAGGTAAATTCATATAAGAATTGAGATAATTAAATTACCATAAGAACATTACGATTAATTCACAAGAAAGTACTTTATGCAAGTAGGAAATAGAATCTAGGTTAAAATCCATACAAAAACTAAACTTATAAAAATCGTCATAAGAATATAACGATAAATTCTAAAAAAAAAACACTTAATGAGAGTAATATATGAAATCTCGATAAATTTTCAACAAAAAAAATACTTCATAAAAGTAGCAGGTGGAATCTAGGGTTAAATCCATATAAGAATTTGGTATACTCAAATCGCCCTAAAAATATTACGATAAATTCTCAAAAAAAAAGCACTTAATCAAAGTAATATAAGAAATCTCGATAAATTTTCAAAAAAAAAATACTTTATAAAAGTAGCAGACGGAATCTAGGGTTGAATCCATATAAGAATTTGGATTACTCAATCGCCCTAAGAATATTACGATAAATTCTCAAAGAAGTTGTGAAAGTAGCAGATGAAATCTAGGGTAAAATCTAAAAATAGTTAATTATTTAATCGCTATAAAAGTATTACGATAAATTCTAAAAAAAGGTACTTGCTAAAAATCTAGGGTAAAATTCAGACTAGAATTACAATTAGTAAATCACCATAAAAATATTACTGTAAATTCTCAAAAAAAATTGTGAAAGTAGCAGATGAAATCTAGGGTCGTAAAATCTCATGATATTAGTTATTTAGTCGCTATAAAAGTATTACGATAAATTCTCAAAAAAGGTACTTGTAAAAAATTTAGAGTTAAATTCAGACTACGATTAAGATTAGTAAATCACCATAAAAATATTACGATAAAATCTCAAACATAAAAAATAAAATAAAAAAATAAAAACTATATGAAAGTAACAAATAAAATGTTGATAAAATTTAGATATATACCTAAGAGTTGTTGGAGATTGGACTGTATAAATCTGTATGGCAGATAAATAGGGAGCATAATATTGAGTAACATTGTGATTATTCAAAGTTAATGGAACACCAACACCATATGCACTCCATTCTTCAAAGCTATCCCACAATTCTCCAAGTTTGAAATTTTCAATTGCTTCCTTCTAAATTTACAAAAAATATTACATATACATAGTAAATGATACAATGTATAAATGAAAATAATTAAAAAAAAAGCAAATGAAAGAAAGAACTAAGACGTATCTGGTTAGACACAGAGACATATATCAGTCCCTTCTGGTGCGAAAATAACTCTCTTTCTCTCTCACACACGCACACATTATTCACTTTCTCTATCTTTACACACACGGTCTTTCTGTCACACACACTCATTCACTCTCGTTCACACACACTTTCTCTCTCACACACATTCGCTCGCTCTCGTTCACATACACTCACTCTCTCTCTCACTCACACACAGACTATCTTTCTCTCTCTAACACACATACACTCTCTCTCTCTCTCGCATACACACACTTTTTCTCTCTCTCTCTTACATGCGCTCACTCACACAAACACACACACAAAAAAAACTCTTTCTATTTCTCCTTCTCTCACACACTCATTTTTCACTCATTCGCTCGCTTGCTTGCTCACTTAGTCTTTCACACACGCACCCCCATATATAGTATAAAATTTGATTTTGTATCAAATTTATCGCGAAAAATAAAAATTCATATATATATATGTAAAAAAAAATTATGATATCGTTGTACATATCATAAGTGAAAAGGGACAAATTCATACTTGATTTCAGTATTTTTAAAGTAAATTCATCGAAACAAATTTATATAAACGAAATTAAACTCAAATCAATATTATTATTTTTGATGCAATGAAATTATCAAAATGAGGCTCAACCAAAAAAAAAAACTTTAAAAAAATAATGAATTACCTCTGAAAGAGGTTTTAAGGGAGCAATTGGTGTCACTGATTGAAGAAAACTAGAAAAATTTGATATTTGATTTAAACTCTTTTTTGACATAAACTCAAATGAAGAAATTTTTTCTTTTCCTTTTCTTGTCAACATTTTATTTTCCTTTGGTGTTTGTTTTTTCAGCTCAGCTAATTTATATAGGAAATGCTCAAAAAAAAATTATTTCAAAATTTTTCTCTAGTCTTTGTAGCATTAATTACAGATAATATCACATTGAGAATTTTAGTTTAACATGATATATTTTAAATTTTTATTTTATATATTGTGATAAATATTTAAAATTCAAGTATTGATAAATAAATTTCAGTGATTAAAAAGCCACAAGAATAAGCCAAAAAAAAAGGTGAAGTTAGGAAGAAAAAAAATCAAACATATTTAAATTTTTTGAAGAAAAATTAATAAATGTAAAAATATAACATAAATACTAATTACAACAATAATAACTTGTCTATTTTGACAATTTTGTTTAACATTTATTAAATGTGAGTGTCAATTAATCATTTTTCAAGATCAATATTGCTCGTCAACAATTATTTACTTTTCTTAAATTAACAGTATTTACGTTATATTAAAATAAATTGTGAATTGAACAAACTAATTTATTTATTCAAAGTTTATTATTGCACGTACAAAATTATAAGATGAATTCATACTAATAGACTTTATTAAAAATTTCAAATTAGAGTAATATAGTAGAAAATAACTCATAAAATACATACAAGCTATTAGATTAATATTCAATAAATAAAATCATAATGCAATTATTAGCATTGATATTATTTTTCAACAATTTATGATTTACTTTTCTAAAATTAACGATACAATATGTTTTTTAATCACATAAATCAGCTATTCAAGACTTATTTGCAAAAAAAAAAAGGAAAAAAATTATTTATTTTTTTTACATAATTTCACCAAACAAAATTTCAAACCTATAACCATAAGAGATAATATTGTAGTTAATGTTTTTTCTTCAAAAAGAATTAAAACCACGTCTCAAATTTCAAAGTTTCAAACGATAGTCAAATATCATATTTGTCTTTTTACGTACAAAAAGTCCAATTAATCAAATCTACTCATTAAATACAATTTTCCTCTTTTATTTTACTGCTTAATTTATTTATTTTTTTATTTTTATATTTCTGGTAATTTTCATTTACTTTTTTCTCCTTTTAATTTTTATTCTTCTTTATTTTATATTTTTCCCATTGTCTATTGAAAAAATTACTGAAATACACTTCTTATGTTTTACATATTTTCAATATCCCGTTTTATTTCTAAAAAACTCTAAAATTCCTTATTTCTTTAATGTACATGAGCTACATATTAATGTATTCGAGCCATTGTTTAATGTATTTGAGTTACATTTTATATATCCAGTTTATCTTATGATGTATTCGAGCTACATATTATGTACTCGACCTAGTTTTTGATGTATCCGAGCTACGTACATATTTTGTATCTTGTTTATGTTATACTGTATTTGAACTACATATTAATGTATTTGAGTTACATTTTATATATCCAGTTTATTTTATGATGTATCCGAGCTAGTTTTTAATGTATTCGAGCTACATATTATGTATCTGGCCTAGTTTTTAATGTATCCGAGCTACGTACATATTATGTATCTTGTTTATGTTATACTGTATCTGAGCTACATATCGATGTATTCGATTTGTATTACTTTGTAAGGAATTAATGTATTACAAACTAAAAAGGAGTAATTGCTAATTCATATTAAAACCATGTGATTCCAAAAATTTATCCTTGATAGAAGAGTAATTAATTTCGTAAGAGAGTATATTAGTTAGTCTTTTATGATACATACATGATATACTATTATTGTATCATAAAGGAGTGATAGTGTATTTCTTCGAGAAAAACACCTCAATCTTCTAAAATACCAACTCGATATATATCATACTAAGAAATGATATTATATATATATATATATATTTTGAAGATGGTATTATATGACATGATATAAATCATATACTAATAGGATATCATAAATAATTGATCATTATTTTTGAAAAAGAGCATAGTCTTAGATCAACGATATCTTAGCAATTACTAATAGGTATGTGGGCAACTTAAATTATTACAACAATTTGTGTAGCTTTTTCCAAAATTCAAATGATGGCTTAAAATATCGAGCTGACGATTTGTCGAGAATAATATCTCAATCACATAATAGGAATAAGGTCAATTTATATTTATCTTGTCAATCTAGGGTTGCATTTTGATCAGATAAGTTTGACTTATCAGTTATCTATTGTAGACATGTTCTCAAAATATTTTTTTTATTGATTGTTATCAATTTGATCATCGACTTAACAATTAGTATTTCAAACAAAGAAATCATTAAAAAATATTTAGAAACAAAGGAAACAAACCATGCAAATAAGTTGACATATTGCTTCTTGCTTAAAAGCAAACATTAGCACATTGTAAAATAACCAAAGTTTGAGACTTCAAAAATGGAAGTATGAAACAAAATTTATTCCGTTAAGAAAAAATCTCAAACAATTACCAGCTGAGAATTCGGTATAAGAGAAAAAATTAAATCATTATCATAACCACTAAATTAATAATGCATTATCAACAAAGTAATAAACAAACTCAATTCAAATTATTAATTTGGAAAAATTACGTGAATAAGCAAACATATACTAGTTAATTAGTTAACATATCTATAGTTTGAATTAATTATCACTCACAACCTCGTTTTAGCTATAATTGCTTGCACCTCTCTACTCTCTCTCGCCTCCCTCCTCTCTTATACATATACAAATAAAGTTATTTATATATACCTTTCTTATACATATACAAATAAAATTATATATATATATATATATACACACACACACATTTACAATTATATGATAGATTTACAATACAATTTGCCTCTTTCGACTCTCTCCCCTTTCTCACTCGCCTCTCTCCTCCCTCTCGATACCAATTACATATATACAATTATTTGACAGGTACACAAATAAAATTCACCTCTATCCGCTCTTTGCCCTCTCTTATTTGTATCTCTCCCCCTCTCCCAATCTTGCTCATCTCTCTCCTCTCTCTAACATGTGGTTAAGAATCGCAATTAAATATTATAGCTATGAAGCCTAACTAAGTTATTTCTAATGGCTACTTGTGAAATTACCTCTATTGATTTTAGGTAAATGAGCCTTACTTTTGGGCCTTTAATAAAATACCCAAATACTCTCAAGCCCATTTAGTATAGCCCAATAAATTTCAGCCCACCAATTTATACTAAAACCCTACCCTTAAACCCTTCTTCCCCAAAAAATTTCTGAACTTTTTCGAATTCTTCCAATTTTTTGTAAGTTCTTTTATCTCTGTTAATCTCCATTGTTTTTCATTGATGTAATTAGCAAACTGAAATTACTTATATATTCAATTGTCTTTTATTTTGGTGTTTTTTAGTGCTAATTTGACTGTCATTTGGTTGCTTTGTGATGATTTCTTGAAATAGAGTAACCTGTGCTAATTTGGTGTGAGAAATTGAAAAATAAACAAAAATAAGATATGGGCTTGTTAAAAAGATTAGTTTTTGTTACATATTACCACAAACAATTGGATTTTGTTGTTGTTGGGGGAGGGGGGGGGGGGGGGTGCAGCCATGTATGGCTGAGGAGTTCATGTCAATTCAGTATTATTAGAAGTTGTAATTTGTGTAGTTCAATGTTGTGACTGGTAATTTTAGCTAATATTATGTTTTTAGGTGATTGTATATGATGGTTGTGGATGAATTGGCTATGATGAATCCAGAGAATGGTGATTTCGATCCAGAAACGGAGTCGGAATCGGAAGATGAAGAAGGGGATCAGCAAGTCGTAAAACTGGCTGAACCTTCGAAAACTGCTGTATATAACAGGGATGGATTACTTGAAAGGCTAGCTGATATCAGTTGGCCTGATGATTTGGATTGGATTCACAGGCTTAGCATCGATAGGGAGGAGCAAGAAGAGGTGGATGTGAACGATGATTTGGCGAGGGAGCACTCGTTTTACACTCAAGGGTTGGAGGGTATACGCCAAGCGTATGTCAACTTTCAGTCTACCGGTGAACCATTTCTAAGGCCCTCTGATTATTATGCGGAAATGGTGAAGTCTGACACTCATATGGAGAAAGTTAAGGGCCGACTCTTGGCTGAGAAGAGGAGGATTGAGGAGTCCGAGGAGAGGAGGAAGGCTAGAGATAACAAGAAACTTGCTAAAGATGTACAAGCACAGAAGATGAAAGAACGAACTAAGCAGAAGAAGCAAGAGATTGAGTCCGTTAAAAAGTGGAGGAAGCAGAGGCAGCAGAGTGGCTTTGATAAAGAAGATGCTGGCGGTCTAGACTTGGCATTTAACGGAGGAAACACGGATAAACCCTATCAGAGATCAAATAAGAAGAGACCTGGTGTATCTCCCGGAGATCGTTCAGGTGGAAAAGGGAAGGGGTTCAACAAAAAGAGGAAAAACCGGGAATTCAAGGATTCTAAGTTTGGATTTGGTGGTAGAAAAGGTTTAAAGAAGCAGAACACTGCTGACACTACCAACGACTTCGGTGGATTGCATAAAGGTGATCGTTCTGCTAAAAACAACAAACGCGTTAAGAGATAGTTCTACTCATCAGTTACTACTCTTGTTGTACTAGACCAAAGTTATTCATTTGTTAAACGCGGATGAAATTGTATTTAATTGAGAGCTTTAACATCAAAAGGATAACAAAAGTAGGGGTGAGATCTTTTACCTTTGGGATCGTCATTAGTCTCCATTTTTCATTTAAAGTCTTTAATTTTTCTTTCGAAGACTTGAGATGTATTTTGGACACTAGAAATGCATTACATACTCATTATACTTATTGCTAATAGGTTTTGGAATATTTCTTCTTGTTTCACTATGTTTGTGGTTTGACTTTACTTTGAGAGTCTTGTATATATGCATTTCTTTTGGCTTATACAGGGTGTGTCATCATCACCTTGACTTTTAGGTCATGACAACCTATCCTTTTCAACCAACACTATTCCTTTTTGTTTCACTATTGTTTGTGGTCTGATTTTACTTTGAGAGTCTCGTATATATGCATTTCTTTAGGCTTATACAGGGTGTATCATCATGACCTCGACTTTTAGGTTATGACAACCTATCCTTTTCAACCAACACTATTCCTTGTTGTTTCACTATCATTTATGGTCTGACTTTTCTTTGAGAGTCTCGTATATATGCATTTCTTTAGGCTTATACAAGGTGTGTCATCATGACCTTGACTTTTAGGTCATGACAACCTATCCTTTTCAACCAACACTATTCCTTGTTTCACTATCGTTTATTGTCTGACTTTCCTTTAAGAGTCTCGTATATATGCATTTTTTTTGGCTTATACAGGGTGTGTCATCATGACCTTGACCTTTAGGTCATGACAACCTATCCTTTTCAACTAACACTATTCCTTGGTTCACTATCGTTTGTGGTCTGGCTTTTCTTCGAGAGTCTCATATATATGTATTTCTTTTGACTTTCGCGTGGTGTGTCATCATAACCTCAAAATTTAGGTTGCGCAAACTTTACTTTTCAACTAACACTAATGAAATTACATTAGAATATATATATAGGGAGAATCTCAACAATACGCCAACGAGAAGTTAACAGGCTTGCTATAAACAAAATTGAGCACAATTAATTAAGCAAAGAAATAAGCTTTGCATATAAGATAAATAATCAAAATGTAACCATTGCAATACAACAGTTATCATTTGCACCAAAATAAGTTAAGTTGTCAATCCAATGTAGAAATTAATGATACCTACAAAAACACAATACCTACTTCCAACTTCTCCATTGTCCTAAATTAGCAACTAACAAAAAAATATAATGTTAATGCAGAACTTGCATTGCAACAACTGTTTTCAGTAAACTAATGAATGATAATACTTGGAATAATCAGTTGAGGTTAGTACCTTGACGTAACGTTCAGATAATTAAACCTTATCTAGAGATTCGTCATTGGAGACCAGTTCCTCAAGACATGGAAAATTAGGTGGTAATGTAAGTAATGGTTGATCTCGCGACAATCCTTTCAATGCCAATGCTAAAGAATACCCTAAAGCCCGGGCAACTGGTACTGCAACTGCATTTCCAACTTGTATGTACCTAAGAACACGACCAAGCTAAGATTATATTCTACTTCACAGATCATTAAGAACATGTATGATCGATGTTACCTTTCTTTTATTGGTCCAGTCAATTTGTAATAATCAGGGAAACCTTGCAGCCTTGCGTTTTCACGGATAGTGAGCACTCTGTCCTGCACTGGATGTAATATAGCCTGAAAGGGGCTCAAAAGCAACTAAGAGTATCAGACTAAACCAAGTGAAGACACACACGATGAAATTTTGAGACGAACAAAGGCAAAGGTACCTGATTATGGGGCTCTGCTCGTGTAACAACTGTTGAAACAATTTCATCCCACCATAAACGACCAAATGGCCTGCATAATTTCAAATACGATGACAACAAAAGAACAATTATGATGGTTGAGGAGTAGTAGCGCTAAGCTAAATAAAATCAGGAAAACATTGTATCATTACTTTTGTGAAGTGCCACGAACAAAAGTCATTGCATAGTCAGGAACCTGTGAAGTTGCAGAACCATAAGAAACAGAAACAGAAACAACCATCAAAATGACACGTAGCACGAAAAGCAAATCCTACCAAAGGCTTCCCTGATGGAAGTTTTACTCTTTCCATATCTGGATCCCATTCAACAACATTGTCAGCACGAACACGAACCCCAGGCAAGTCCCTGAAGTTTGCACCCTGTAATTATTGAAGGAATCAATAACCCCATAGATATACTCATGTTCTATCGCAAATAGCAGGTCACAACAAGTGTAATACCTTTTGTTTGGGAATTTGAGTTACACGCTGGTAGTCATCTTCGTTTAACTGAAGGGGACGATGATCATACAAAACAGTACCCAACGTACCTATGATATAGAAATGCAATCATAATTAATTAGTAAAATACTGAACTATTTTCAGGTAATACCAAGATGCATATTTCCAAGACCAAATAATCAATAAAAAAACTCACCATCCCTCCTTGATCTTATGAAACGCTGAAAGACTGATTTTGGCTCATCGATATATGGCATTTCATCCCTTGGTTCATTATTTTCCACCTAAAATTCAAAATTAATTGCATAAATAAAGGAACACCGAGCCATATTAGGTATATGTTTAACTAAGTGATAGTCTGTCTTTCGAGCAACTTAAATGTTTATTACATACAGGAGGAAGATCTGAAAGTGCATCCTCGAGAAGAAGTTCTCTCTTTAGCTTGACCTTCAGGCCTTCTTCAAAATCTACTGCATTTAACTGTATTCAAATTCAAAAACGTATTCAGCCAATGGCAACATGAAAGAGTATGCAGTGTTTTAACAAATTCGGTACACTACCTCAAATTCTGTGGGAATGCCACCCCTCACAATAACGTTATGTGTGGGCAACGGATATTGTGGCAATTTCTGCAAGACAGGGAGAGATTTTAAGTTGAGCAGTGAGCACAAACAAGAACAAGAAAAGGAATATTTAAGCGTAATTGTTTCTATACCTCTGAAGGAAGAGCACCCCACATGAAGACACGCATACGAAATTGTGGAAGTCCATATGCCCCAGCAACCATCATTCCCATCCGTGCTTGGTAGTTCATTCCAACAAGTCTGCTTAGTGCATATCTTCCAAGGTAACCATGTGCAAACCTAAGCAAGTCCACCACATTTTCCATTAACACGAACCTTGGCTTCAAGAACTCCACAATGCTCATGAATACTTCAAGCTGTTTATTTTTTGGATCTTGTAATGGATTTGCTGAATTTCTAAAACGATTAAAGCCACTTATTCCTTGGCAAGGAGGTCCCCCACATACGACGTCTACTTGCCCCTAGTATAAAACCAATAAAAAAGTTCACACCAAAGAATTGCAAATACGTATTGTGGAGACCCAAATCTAGACAAAAGGAGGGAACTTACAGGTAATGGCAAAACACTTCTTTTAAAGCCATCAGTCACAAAGTCTTTTATTTTGTTTTGGCAGCCACTACAGAAAAATATCAATCATTAGATAAATGTATTAATGACAAATGTCAATTCACAATATGTTGCTTGGTTTAAAATTCATACTCTAAGCCTTCTATAGGCTCCCAAGTATCTTCATCTGGGCCATAACCCTTCCATCGTACCTAGTCATAAGCAGTAAGTGATATGAGGAACAACCAAAAAACCCAATAACTTATCTACAAGTCTTGAATTGTTCACTAGAGTAGCCTACATAATATATACCTAAGAGTTAGCAGCAAAGTAGACACAAATATCCAAACACAGTAAACAAATACCTTAAAATAAAGGCCTGGCTTTTTTATTTCCTTCGGGTCTCCATAACAAACTTCCAAGATCTCTTCCACTTCAAAAATTTCACCTTCATCTTCATCACCAGATCCCCCATCATCATCATCTGCACCTTCATCATCATCTTCCACATTTGCATCTCCCACTTTCAACAAAGGATGTGTCGGGGTATTGCTTTTCAATAAGGAGCAGGATGCACAAAGCTGCTCCCACTCCTTCAAAAGCAATAAGAAATCTTCAGCAGATTCATTTCTCACCTACAAAATCATACAATTTATTCATGTAAAGATATTAAAAGAAAAAAGAAAATCATAATGCCTCATCAATCATTACCTCGGTTTCTGGGTGGTTTGCTTTTAAACTATCACAGGCATAACAATTTAGATCAACAGTCCATTTCTGCAGTCAAAAAATATAAAGTGCTAAGATAAGACAGTAAAATAAATAGAAGTATCCTTTTTAATGAAAGCTTAAATTTTTAGATAAAATAGTCACGCAATTTGACATGATACCCAAACGGTAACGGACTAACAGTGATGCATTTAGATCTCTTTACCACTCTAGAACACTTATCTTACCACAAATTTGGCCATCTAAAAAGTAGCCACACATGTGCAAGGGTGTGTCGATTACAGATCCAAGTAAATAAAACTGTCTTATCTCTAATAGTTCAATTTTTTTATGAAGTGGACACATAATTCAACAAAAAAAACATAAAATTGGAGAAAGGACAAGAAAACATATTGGGTAATAGGACATACAGTGACAAGTTTAACATCACAAACATCAGCACCCAGGCACAGCCCAGTAGACATTCCACCACAACCGGAATAAAGATCCAAGAGTTTCTTTTCTTGCTTCTGTTCTTTGACCTCCACAACATCACCGTCACTTGATATGGTCGAATTTGATTCACTATCAGGACTTAAAACATCTACAATAACAACAGTTCCTGTTATCTATATATTCAAAGTAATATCTCATGTCTTCAATACAAAGGGAAATGCTTACAACAACAGTTATTTCTAAAAAGCTATTTATAATAGTTTAATTGATAATATTCACAAATTAAATAGTGTTCTACATTGAGTGTTTGGTTAAATTTGATAACAATGTCGTAGGTATTGATTGGAGGGAAAAAAAAGAATTGAGATAATTGTAAAGAAGATATTTTGCTGTCAAATCAAACATATTTTAGGAAAATAATAGACTTCTATTACTATGTTCATGAGAAATATACTTGAAAAAGGTTACCTGATGGTAAACTAATAAATGATGAGAATGGGACAAGGTACTTCATGTCATAGTAGTAGTCACATTCTAATCGCAAACTTTCCTTGAATTGTAAGCTTACCTACAAATAATGTCCAACACGCATTAGTGTTGCTTGTTAAAGCCATGGGAATCAAAGTATCTTCTTAGCAAGTGTAACAATATGGCACTTAAGTTAACTCATCCCTAAAAAATAGCTCCTGAGTGTAGAATTACACAAGACTTGAAGACCCTATAACAAACGAACTATTCAACCTCAACTGATGTAGGACTCTGGACTCCTCTAACACCCCCCACCCACCCACCCACCAAACACCCACCCCATAGCCCAACTAGAGCATGCAATTCAATATGGATCATGAAAAGATGTAGACTAATACCATGAGAAGATGATTGCTAAGAACATATAAGCAAAGCACCAATTCATTCTCCAACCAATGTGAAACTCTAACATTAAGTAAAGGCTGACATACGTTTGAGGATATTGGAACAATTTTGATTTTTTTTACGAGGCAATCAAGCGGGTTGTGATCCTTAATATCTGACAAGAATACACGCTTCTTGTCAATAAACTGGTCATGAGCTTTAATTACCTGATAAAAGAACAAAGGTTAGAGTCAACTTCTTTAGAAGTGTTGATTAGAAGAACTAGCCTTCATAAGTTAGGTATTTCTTACGGTATCCTTCGCTCTGTAAAACCACTGAGCAGTAAAATACTTCATATCATCAACACCTTGAAAAAATTCAACAATTTTGCATATGTAATCATCTTCATCTTCTGCAGCCTATTCAATTAAAAGAAAGAAACAAGATCATCATATAGATTCATCAAATGATCATATACCTATAATTAGGAAGAATTGTTAAGGAGATTGATACATGTACTTCTGCATGTTTTCCTACTTTAAGGTATTATATGCATTACATAATCTATGAGTTTTAAGAGATAATCAAGTCGTCTTCGTTAGTTTCACAAACTTGTGGAAGATAAAGTTCTTTTGGAAGAAACTAGATTTATCATAATTGTAAAGAAAATCAACTTCTAGAAAATCCAAGAGACAGAACAAGATGGAAATCTAGTACACATTATTACATCCTTCGTCTCAATTTGATTGTGTATCTAGTTTTGACTGGAGACGAAACTTAAGAAAGCAAAAAAGACTTAAAATTTTTGAAGTCATATACTAAAGATATGTAGATTGTAGAATAAAGGGTAGTCAATTCAGAACGAGAAGACTAACTATACTTGAGCATCGTAGAATTCACCTTTACATATGCATCATCCCCAAGTTTATAAATGACATTATCAACTAATGCTTGTGCAAAATGGCACTTGGCCTGAATTAATTCGTCCGAATCATGTTGGCTGCACAAAGTACAAAACATTAGCATAACGATTAAATGGCACCAACATAAACTAGAGGAAGCTAATAGAGAGAAAATTTATCGTGCAAACTTACCAATTTAAGCTCATAGATGCACTATTTATATTCACGTTATCCTGTTCATTGGCAAAATAATGAAATATAATATAAGTATGAAATAACAATAGAAACAACAACAAGAATATTACGAAACAGCCCATAGGCACCAAGAATATCACTATGCTAACTAAATTTTATGTTAGAAAGAACCCATAGGCGAAAAGAGACAATGTTAGGCACCATATTGCTTACCAGCCAGCAAACAAAACACCAAGTTTATATTGCCTTGATCTCCATGACTTAAGCATGCTTCAAGAGGGCCTTTTAATGACAAAAGTACAAGTACACTTACATATTCAATATCTTCAAACATTACAAGCTTAATTTAAAATTTTCAATAAAAAATGAAGAATATTAACTTAGTTATTTAGTTATGCAATTTTTTAAGGTTCAAAAAACAAGATATTATCTTCTCATTAAACAATTAAGTAGGCAATGGAATTCATAGCAATAATCTAGAAGGATGAATGGAAAGGGAATTCAACTTTAATGGATGATTACTTTAACCCTCTCTATAATACTTGAGACTCAATCCATCCTCTCACCAAACAAAGAGTAACAACTATAACATGTTGTTTAGAGGATACGTTCGTAATTGGGTGAATGAAGACAACCTAGTTAGCCTACCTCTAGATTAGACAGTTGTATAGTAAATGAGCATGTAATTGACAAACTAAAGTGAAGCAACACAAACAAAGTAATATCTATAAAAGCAAGCTACACATATAAATGTGTGCTCATATTGAAATAATTGTTCTTGGAAGCTCTTGAAAAAAGAGATGCCAATAAAGGACATATGCTTCAGTTGGGCAGATCTCTACAAAACTTGCTTGAGCCAGGACAAAGATACCAATAAAGGACATATACAAATTGTTTGTAGATGTTATGCATGAGTGACCAAAAATTAGAAACCAAAATTTAGATATTGATCCATTGTATAATTGTTCCAAATTGCTAGTATATGTTCTCAACTACTGGACTCAATGAGGTCGAGCCATGTTGGTGAGGATTCTCACTTTGTAATCTCCTACTCCTAACCCAAGTTTTTTTTGAAAAAAGGTCATGCCACAATTATTAAGTAAGCATTTGAATGCCAAAGTTCTTGTTATTGATCCCTCTTAACTTCGCATTTAAGCCAAGATATTCTTCTTATAATTGTGGTATCCAGACCACTAATGCTATTTCAACTAATTTCACAAGATATATGTCATATCTCACAAACATGTATCAAGTAACTTTATAAACCAAGGCTAGAACAAATAGAAAGACATCACCAAATATTTTAAGACAAGATATCTTCTATGTATACTTTATTGGTTTATATAATCTATCCCCTCGAGATTCACCTAATAGTTCTTTTTAATTTTGTTAGCTCCTTGATCTTAGCATGGTCTGTCATGCAATGACATAATAAGTTGTAGTTCAAATCTAAGGCATTTGTACATTAAAACAAAAATACTCAAGACTATCTAGATTTCGTTTTGCATATTCCTATTTACTCTTTTGTTGAAAAATACTATGACAGTGTTTATAAGTTCTCTTTAGTGTTATTAAAAGCGGAAAATACAAAAAGCTCTAACATTGGTTGCAAAACTAAGCACAAAAAAGCGAACTTTATTGAGGAAAGGCACAAATGGAGAAAACATACACATATAAAAGCATGAATAACAAATATACAGACAAAACATGGCAATATCAATGATTTAGTCTTTCCTCTTCACAAAATGCTGATTCACAAGTCAAAATTTATGTTGACGACAACACTAACTCACACATTAAGCAAAGTAGTGTAATACCAAACAATATTTTGCAATGCAATGCAAAACAAACCTTTATAATGTATCGATGAGACCATTTCTCCCTGACTTCATAGCCCACAACAGTTCAAGTCTAAAATCAATACTCCCTCCGTCCCATTTTTTGTGACACTTTTCGAATTTCGAGATTCAAACAAACCTAACTTTGACCGTATTTTTTTCATAGATATTTTAAACATTTTGAATTATCAACTGTTATGACTTATTTGACATAGTTTATAAATATATAAATTTCCTTTCAAAAAAATTGAAAATTTCATACGCAAATTCTCAACAACAAATGTCTCGTAAATTGGGACAAAGGGAGTAATTATAAGCATGAATAACTACCCTTACATTAATTGTTTTTAACCATAAAGTAAAATATCAGTGATTTAACATCAACTATATAAGAAAATACTCATTCACAAGAAAAAATATGATCACAACACCTCACTAAACATTATTTTAGAGATTAATTGGACTTTAAGCTTATTCACAAGCAAAAAACATGTCACATTAGGCAAAAAAAAACAAAGTTACATTAATACAGAACAAATAAAGTGTACTTCAAACCAAACCTTTAAAATATATCTATGAGGCCATTTTTTCCTAGCTTCACTATCCAGCACAATTTCTCCGTAAAACTCACCCTCCTGCTCCTCATTCGCCCGTACAGCAACTCTTCTCACCTCTTTCTGACCAGACGATTCGCCGATCGAACTATCACATACAATATCCCTATCCTCTACAAACTCATCGTCGTCCCGAAAACCTTCCGCTACTTCATCCGAAGCTATATCCACAGTTTTCACTACTTCTAATGCATGTCGTTTAGAAGAATCCGATGATGAATCCGCCGGAGAAGCTTTCCGTTTGCTCGACATTGATGGGTAAGAGAGGTTAGGGAAGGTAAAGGTGGGGGAATACAAAAAGTGTGAGATATTATGAAGAAAATATATGTATGTATATATATAGAGAGTTTTTTTTGAGGGGAGTTGAGTAATAATTTTGAAAAAAAGAACGTGGTAAAGGCGGGAATCCGGAATTGAAGGTAAATTACGAAAGTGGATTGGATATTATAGGGTCACGTCCGGGTAGTGATTGATTAGTGGGTATGATATTTTTTTTTAAGGAAAAAGGTTCGAAATAAATTTTCAGAAAAGATTCATTTATGTTATTAGTTAAAAGTTTGGTTTATTTATGTTATTATCGTTAAAGAAAAAGTTTATTCATTGTCATTATTTTTTGACAGTGATTTTGCAAAACTATTTTTCACGTCCAATTTTTATTTAGAATTTTGATTTTTTTTATTGAAAAAAAATTGATGACGTGGCTGATTATAACTCGACCACGTCATCAATTTATTTAATAAAAAAAACTAAAAAAAATAATACAATTTTTCTTTTTAGAATTATGATTTTTTATATTAAAAAAATTGATGACGTAGCCGAATTATAATTGATCACGTGTCAAAAATAATTTGCAAAATCACCGTTAAAAGATAATGACATGAACGAATGTTTTCTTTAACTATAATGGCATAAATGAGCCAAACTTTTAAGTTATGGTATAAATGAACATTTTTTGAAAGTTTGATCGCAGCATTTTTCCTTTTTTTTTGTATTTGATTTAGAAAAAGATTTGGTAAAATTCATTTTTTATTTATATTAATGTTAAAAAGTTGGAAAACTATTGTCAGAACATTATTTGATTTTCTTGGTATTATTAAAGAGCGAAAAGAGTTTACGTAATAGCAACTGAATATCAACTTATTTAATTATTTAAATGTTTTCTTTAAAAGAAAAAATTAGGGGTATCGTATTAAATTGATAGTGACAAATGAGTATTTTAAAATTTTAAATTTTTGATATTTTAAATAAAAAATTTAGAAATTTAAAGACTATGCAAAAATTTGCATATCACAAAGAATAATGTTTAGTCAAAGGGAGTATTTATTTAAGGAATGCAATCTGCTAATTCCTTGGCAAGTAAATTAAGGAAGTATTTTATTTACTATAAATGTGTTTAATTAAAACATTAGTTTACACCTATTTATTGGAACAAATTAATAAAGTACTCATATTAGATATCTCTTCTTACCATATTTTCAAGGTATAGTAATTGTTTCTTGTTACACCAAATCTAATGGTAAAAAAGTATAGATTAAATCTAACCATTACAATTATTGAAATTGTTATTATAAGGTTTGCTATCAAATTAAGAGTCACTTTAAGTAGATTTAGACTAATATGACAAAGACATGACTTAACAAGTTTACGACGATTAACCAGAATTCAATCTATCTATCCATCGTGACGTGAGTAATCCTTAACCCTACCCCTTGCTATTTGTTATATCAAGTGTTTAAGTGAAATTAGCCGTCTAACAAATTCTTCGACGCTAGCCCTTATAGTCTAGTCTAGGACCTCTACTAGGGCTAGAGCTACACACAAAAAAAAAACTTAAACCAAAAAGTACATAATAAGAAAATACTCCCCCCTCTACCTTCCGTTGTGATAACGCAACCCGATACATGTATTACACTGTGTATGTTGTTGTTTCAAACTAGGTCAATATTTAAAATATGGTGTAGTACTCACCTCTTTTACTAGAGAAAGTTCCATTACCAATTATAAAATAAAAACCACTTTATAATACATAATCTACCTTCAACATTACACAAAAATTGCAACACATATAGAAACAAGAATAAAATGGTTTCCAACTTAATGGCAAACTGGTGTAGCATGTCAATTGAGTTATAAACTAGGTGCTAAAAAAGGTTATTGATTGGAGTTCTTAGATTCTGATGTAATTGCTTTTAACCACAAGGAGTTAGCTTCTTGTTACCAGCGCCACGAGGGTTGTCATCTTTCCAGTCATCCCATGCTCGTGCCTTTTCTTGGGCGGCATCATCATTATCATCTTCTTCGTCATCTTCATTTGGCCTTGTCTTGGGACCGTCATTGTACCATGAAGAAGTTGCTTCTTCCATGAGCTTAACATTCCTTTCTTGCCATTCGTTCATCATATTCATCTCTGTTAGCCCAGCTTCTTCAATGCTCATCGTTGGTAATCTATAAATATGAATAAAGATTAGAGAACTAGTTATTTGAGGCTAAAGTATTCGGTAATTGGGAGAAAATCAATATACTTCTAGTGTCGAATCAGGATCAACTAGGACAAAATAAAGTGTTGGATTGAACTCTTTTTTGGTGTCAAGGTAATAGCTATGAATAGACATCAACTTTCAGGTAAGAGTAGAAGAATGGGACCTATTATGGTATATACAAATCTAAAATGGAGTAAATATATCAACTTTTTAATTCAAGAGATTATGTGTATGCGCACCTATAATGAGGCTGAAAGACCTGGGCAGCTATTCTTTGCCTTTCAGTTGTAGGGTTCATACCAACAAGACTTGCTGGTCCAAAGAGTAAAGGCTGGTGTTTATGGTCATGCGCCTGTGAGACCTTGGCCCTCCCTTCTATGACATCTTGTGCAAAAGTGGCACAGGTGATGGGGGCTGCGGGTTTTGTATATCGAGCTCGTGCAGCAGCATCACGATGCCAAGATTCTACTTTTTGGGTGCGTTCGTCAAGTATTAGCTGAGAAAATTCTTTCTCCCCATCCTACAAAAGAAGTTAAGTAATGTGTCGAAGCAAATGCACAACCTAGAGAACAATGATACAAAAGCTGTCTTTAAGATATGGAGTAACACACGTTCACAGAGTTGCAAGAAGAGCAACTTAATGTTGATGCTTTAGGTAGTCTTGCGGGAAGGACTAGAGCAACGCCCTTCCATACTGGGGCAGGAATCACACGCTCAAATGAACTCATTAAAGAGCGAGAGAATTAAAGATTGAACTCACAAGTTCAAATAGCAATTACCATATTCAAAAGCTACCAGAACCGAATGGCAAATTAGCACAGAAAAGAAGCCCAAATCAACTGAGTTTAAATAGTACCCGAAGCTGCTTCTCCCTGACAGCAGATAGTATTTCTTCCTCTTTCTTCAGCATTTCAAGCAAATCAAAGGCCTGCAGGGCAGTGATTAGAAAACTACGAAGATAAGGTACCAAGCACAGGAAATAAATAAAGATTCAACTCAAATGAGTATAGAACATCTTGGCAAACCTTACAAAGGGCCAGGGAAATAGTTGTAAGCCATGCCTGCATGCATAATGGTTTTAAAGAATCAGACATTTACTCAAAATGAGATCTAGAAGCCAAAACTTGAGGTTGGAAATAACTAAGCGACAGCAAATTTTGCATCTTAATCAAGCTATGTATATCATAGAGGAAAATTACAGTTCAATCCAAGAAATCAAATGGCATCTAGTAAACAAAATTGAGATCCTTCCAATAAAATCATATTCAAAATGGAAAGGTCCTTAGCCATTGATGTCACGTGCAAATCTTTGTGATGGGTTAATAGGGTGACGGTCAACATTTCATGCGGACAAATAAACACAAATAATGAGTGCGGAGTGCCTATCCAATGTGAGCTCCAATGTCTTGCACTTCACTTGTCGATCTCTAGAATAACATATGCATCAACTGCTTGATGCTTCGCATCATCCAACAGAATTATAACTTATATTAGCTCATTTATTTACTGACCAGCTTATAAAAACTTTTGACTAATTCCTCAAATGATAAGGATGACAGTTAATTAAGAGCCATAAAAGTTGCAGCACCAGAAAAAGAAAAGGACAGAAAAATAGCTTATGCTAATGCATGACACAACTAGGGGAATTAACAAACCTCCCTTTCTTCTTCACCGTCATCATCAAACACGTCCTCTTCTCCAGTTTCCACAGGACTTGACAATGCAGCTGCTTTAGTCGATCGTCCACGACGCTCTCTCCGCTCCTTCAATTCAAGTAGTTTTGACTCAGCAGCTCTTTGACGTTTGAAACGAGCTATCTGAAATAACATAATGTACTCAGTAACAATCTTATTAAAAATTGAAGGGATCTAAGCTAGAGGGCGATAAGATTCGAAGCGTTAAATATAACACTCGTACACAGCAATTAAACCATGACGTCCAGCCTACCTTTTTAGCTCTACGATCTACAGAAGAACTAGATCCACCTTGGGTAGATGTCTCTATCTCGTCTTCAGGAACAAGTTCCATTGTCTCACAAAATGAAATGAACTCCTAGAAATGTTGACCAATAAAAATGAGAAGATATCAATAAACAATAGGTTTATTTATCCTTCTTAGAACAGAATCTATTACATAGATTAAGCCCGTAATAGTCATTACCTTTAGCTTAGCTTGTGAAGCCTTGAGTACTTCTATCCTGTCATCTTCTGCAATTTTTTCTGTTAGCTCCGCTAGATAATAAGGGACCTGAAATAATGAAATATAAGACTCCATATCCGTTGTGAGTACCAAAACAAGATCAAAGAACTACTAATTCAACTGCGAAACAAACTAAAACTAGAAATGGATAAAGCAAGAACATCAAGCTTGACATTAGTGGATTCTAATAGGTGCTCAGGCTACTGACGATAGCATGGACCTACATCAAACATAGTGAACGAAAATAACTTGATGGAAGAAGTTTCCAGCCCTGACCAATGAGAAACCCATTCAGGTTATGTGTAGTGCCGAAACAGCAAGCTAATTCCCTTGCAATCACAAGTTCATTAGAAATTCTATGGACAATGGTAGCAGTAGCACAAATCAAGTACAAGAGGAAACACGAGATGTTGTTTACAGAGGCAATGAAAGTGATAAGAGGATGTGACGCTAACAGCTAGTAGAGAAAAAGAAGGGAGGAAAAAATAAAGGAGATTAATGATGGTGATAAGGAGGGTGCGGTGAAGTACGTTCTTTGGTTGTGAAGGAAAATTGTGACAAATGGGACGAGACTGTTCTTGGTGATCTGGTTTAAAAAAAAGATGAGGCCATCAAATATTTTTGAATGGTTATGGAA